TACTGTACCGTACTGTACCGTACTGTACCGTACTGTACCGTACCATATCTTGTGATACTACAGGCTCGACCACATATTGAGTTCTTTTTACCCAATTGAATTATAATAATAAATAAAGAAAAATAAAACGAACCAACACTGTGAATACTTGAGTGTAGTAGGTAATAAATGATCAATACCAATACCAATACTAAATGATCAATACCCTGGTGGAGGAAACCACATGGTGGAACTAAATATGGTGATATTTCAGTGTATGAATATTTTCACCTGTACAGACGACGACACGGAGAATCAAACCAACAACTCATCAAGAACCTCTTCATGTTGTCGTTACAGAACGAACTGGACCAGAGTTCCACTCTTTGAGGACTGCGATGACCACACCTGAGGGGCGGGGCTTATAAGCAGGGCGGAGCTCTCACGTCTGACATCAACTCCTCTCCTGATGATGATGTCACAAAATCGCGGCCTCGTGAAAATCCTCCGTGGAGTGTGAAGACACGCACACACTTAGTTTACCTCCAGGGGGGCGTCGTCTTCTCTCTGTCTGGACGGTGGGGCGGGAGACACCTCAGGTCAAAGGTCAACACAGAGCTGTTTCTACTGCAGGTTAAATGAATGGATGACAGTGACCTGGAAGAACCTCTGCTGGAACCAGAATCAAACTGGACAGTGGTGTCTGAGGGTCTGTCCAGTCCTCTGTCCAGTCCTCTGACCAGTCCTCTGACCAGTCCTCTGTCCAGTCCTCTGTCTAGTCCACTGTCCAGTCCACTGTCCAGTCTACTGACCAGTCCAGTCTACTGTCCAGCAGGTTTTTGCCTTAAAAAAATAAATATTTTTGCTAAAATCAATTTTTTTCTTCTGTCACTCACATCAACAACTGAAAATAAAAAATGTCTCCTGTCATGTCCCACACAATGTGTCCCACACGATGTATCCCACACAGATGTGTCCCACAGTGACGTCTTTCATCATCTCTCCCAGATTTACAGCAAACGTGATGAATTCTCGTGGATGAGCCGTTAAAACCCAGCCTATTCAGGAGAGACACTGGTTTTGATATCTGTATCTTCGCTAGGGGGCAGTGACATGTCGGAATAACCATGTGACGACGCGGATATGAAGACACAGGAAGAAGAACAAACATGGCGGCTGCAGTTTGACGATGGTAGCTGGATGGAAAAATACGAAAAAACATCATTAAAACCAACTTAAACTGTTGTGAAATCTAGTTTTGTTTGAAAATAACGGCAGTTTAACGGACCGACAGCGTCCGACAGTCATGGAAACAGGTTCGTACGTGATATTTACCTTAACTTTAGTGACATAAACGTGTTTGTCGAGAACCAAAGCCCGTTCATCACTTCAGTGAGATCACGGGTTTGTTGTTTTTTACGGTAAAGTTACGGTAATAGACAAATATTCTGTGTCGATTATTCATAGCAGAAGTGGAATTTGCCTAAAACCATAAAATGTTGACGTTGTTGTGATAGTTGTTACCGACGTCGGTGTCACTGTTATCGTCGTTCGTTCGTCCTCAAAATGATTCATGTTGATTTTATTTAACGTTTTTAAAAGTTCTGTGAGTTAATGGGAATGTTTTAGTGATGTCTGTTTCTAATGCCTCGGGTTTGGGTAGAAAATTAATTCTATTATTATTATGATTATTATTATTACATTTCCCATAGTAGAGGCGCTAATATTATAAATATACCGCTAAATAAACACAAATAACCAAAGTGAATGTGTCTGTTTGACAACAGTAGAATTGTTGGTCACATACAGAGAACTTTGGCCTGTGTCTTGAACACAAGCAAAGGATCGGTTTCAGTAAACTGTGTGTGTGTGTGTGTGTGTCATACAGAGGAACAGGCCAGGAACCGTTTCCAGGCGGAGCTGGAGTTCATTCAGTGTTTGGCCAACCCAAACTACCTGAACTGTAAGGAGCGCTGTGCCCTCTGACCTCAGATGACCTCACCATCATCAGGAGAGTTGTAACAGTTCGACTTGACCGTTTCCTGCTCTGAACAACCTTCTGTTTGTCTTTGCTCCTGCAGTCTTAGCTCAGAGAGGCTACCTGAGGGAGAGAGTGTTCATCAACTACCTGAAGTATCTGCTCTACTGGAAGGAGCCGGAATACTCCAAGTTCCTCAAGTAAGTCACTGTTAGCGAATGCTATTGGTCCCCACGCACAGGGTCAGAGGTCACTGAGCTGAGGGCTAGTATGTATGAAAGCAGACACTTGAAAATAATAATAATAATAAATACAAATACAGCAAAAGATCAACTAAAAGACGTGGCTGGTAGCTTTGTTTACCTGGAGCAGATGGAACACAGCATCTGATTGGCTCATGCATCACAGCATCTCTCAGCGTCTCCCCTTGTCTGTAAAGTTAGTGCTCTGGTGTTTGGTGAAAGTTGACTCTAATCTAACGTCCTACGACGTCTCCTAAACTCCTCCGATCATCTTCTCACACTTCTGTTACCAAACCAAGTCCAAACCAAGACGCTGACACAGATGACCTTTAACAATAATGTCCGCTCCTGCCTGTGCCTTCATATACGGTCCAAAAGGAAATATGGTGTTATTTCAGTATATGGATATTTTTACAGCTCCAAGTTTTAGTTATGTTTCAAAAACACCTGGAGGCTCCTGCTCTACTGATGTTCCACCAGGAGGTGGCGTCTCAGTGATGTAGATGTTCTCTGGACATGGCAGACCTACTACTGCTGCTCCTGACTCCTGCCTCCTTCTCCTCCTCCTCCTCCTGCAGGTACCCTCACTGCCTACACATGCTGGAGCTGCTGCAGTACGAACACTTCCGGAAGGAGCTGGTCAACGCTCAGTGCACCAAGTTCATTGACGAGCAGCAGCTGCTGCACTGGCAGCACTACTCCAGGAAACGCACGCGGCTGCAGCAGGCGCTGGCAGAACAGCAGCAGCAGGCCACGCAGCCGCCGCACGGCAACGCCGCCTCCAAGTGACCACACCGAGGCCGTGGGGGAGACGGTGGGGGAGACGGTGGGGGAGACGGTGGGGGAGACGGTGGGGGAGACGGTGGGGGAGACGGTGGGGGAGACGGTGGGGGAGACGGTGGGGGAGACGGTGGGGGAGACGGTGGGGGAGACGGTGGGGGAGACGGTGGGGGAGACGGTGGGGGAGACGGTGGGGGAGACGGTGGGGGAGACGGTGGGGGAGACGGTGGGGGAGACGGTGGGGGAGACGGTGGGGGAGACGGTGGGGGAGACGGTGGGGGAGACGGTGGGGGAGACGGTGGGGGAGACGGTGGGGGAGACGGTGGGGGAGACGGTGGGGGAGACGGTGGGGGAGACGGTGGGGGAGACGAGTGCACAGAGTCTGTGAATAATAATGTCTTAGATGTTGTTTGTTAGAGTCTTAATGTTTGGTTGTTTTGTAAATAGAGACTTGTGTGACACAGGTGGCGCCACCTGCTGGAACTTGACTTAGTGACTTAATACTGTTTGAAGTGAGTGAATAAAATGTGTTTTGTTTAACCACGTCTGTCTGTCACAGCTACAGAGAACGGCATCTGTCAATGGTAACCAAACAATAAAACGTCGCTGTGTTTACACTAAAGCTCGATCAGAATGAAGCTGTGTTGACCATCTGGTCCAGAGTGGCTAACTGTTAGCCACAAAATAATTAAATAATAGCTAAAAGTTAGCATAGAGTACTATAGCTTAAGCATCGACAAATCATAAAACCGAACAAAATTATTCAATTCTGATATGGTTTTTTTTATGTAGTAACATTGTAAATATTCGCAATTCTAGAGAAAATCTGAAATATGACATTTTATGTTTTTAAAACATTTGATCAAATTCAAGTTTGGAAATTGTGCGTATAAAGTTAATTTAAAAAAAGAAGACGAACTCTCAGAAGTGAGCCCACTGTCGTTTCCGGTTTTGTCCTGATTCGCCGTCGGCATCGTCCGCCATTTTATTTATTGACATCGGCTGAGACTGGACAGAGAGTTTGTCCAGAACCGGTGAACTTCTCAGAGACGAGGATAGACTGAAGAGACGGTAACGGTTCATCTTCTTCACATTAGTCATCGATTAAAAGTAAAAACTAATTCGTGTCAGTGAATGCGTCTGGATGTTCCGACGACATTGACTGTAAAACTTCAGCTGATGTTAGTTGTTCGGTAAAAATGTCGTAATTGTTGCTTTTATTTTATTCATGAAAAGATGCGTCTGTTCTGTGAAAGATTTTAAATTAGTATTTCCCCTCGTTGGAACTTAAAGTTAAAAAGGGAAAATCTAGAAATATATTATCCGTATTTAACAATTTTTTTATCGTTTGGATTCTGTTTTGCACTTATAGAGAAAACCTCTGTGTTTGGTTTAAATACACACATATGTACATATATATATGTCGGTTATATTAGTATATTAAACGAAAAATAAATAAACCCGTCAAAGTTGACCTAATAATTTGAGAACGTTTTCACTGCCTACACCTCAGGTCGTCTATTATTACAATTAGAATTACTGGAGTTTTAAGTGATTTAGAGACTAAATATTTTAATAATTTGTAATTAAGAAAGGAAAACTTGAAGAAAAAGGTGATTTGTGTTCAGGTGAAAAAAAAGACCAATGATTAATTAAAAAACATTTTCACTGAATATTTATTTATATTCAAATATATATTCATATATAGATCATATTCATTTATGTCCAGAGATGAAATAAAACACCAGTTATTATAAAGGGAGTTATTGTCATTGCGACACAACCTTTTACCTTTCACCTCAGTGAGCAGGGGGTGGCTCAAGCTATGACCTGCGACCTGCAAAGTCACGTTTGTTAAAGTTTCTCCGATGTGAGATGTGATGATGTCACTGGTTTTATCAACAGATCAAAGATTGTTGTTGGTTCCTGGAAGTACGTCGTTCTTGGAAAGATCTTTGTTAATGAGTAACAAGTTATGGTGACTCGTCATTAAAGACACATCAGAGAAGAGTGGACCTAATCTGTCCAGGACTGGGGTCCAGGACTGGGGTCCAGGACTGGGGTCCAGGACTGGGGTCCAGGACTGGGGTCCAGGACTGGGGTCCAGGACTGGGGTCCAGGACTGGGGTCCAGGACTGGGGTCCAGGACTGGGGTCCAGGACTGGGGTCCAGGACTGGGGTCCAGGACTGGGGACCAGGACTAGGGTCCAACTCAGCAGACTGTTACCGGGGTCTTAGTCTTGTCCATGGTCTCTCGTGGTCACACTCCTCTCTTTGTCTCAGTCGGCCATGATGATGCGAGTGGCGGTGATCGGTGCCGGCGCTGCAGGGCTCTGTGCAGCCAGACACATCCTGGCTCGCCCCAAAGTCTTCGCCCGCCCGGTGGTCTTTGAGCTCATTGACAGGGTGGGCGGCACCTGGTGTTATGAAGAGGAAGTGGGCGTGTACGACAGCGGGCGCCCAGTCCACAGCAGCATGTACAGAGACCTCAGGTGTGTAAACATCAACACTTTAGACTGTCGTTTAAGGTCACGTCTGTTCATTTGACCTTTGACCTCCCACAGGACCAACCTTCCTAAAGAGGTGATGATGTTTCCTGACTTCCCCTTTGACCCTGAGCTCAGCAGCTTCATGTCTCACCAGGAAGTGCAGAAGTACCTGGAGAAGTACTGTCAGAGCCACAGCATCGGTCCACACATCAGAGTGAGTCAGGCGCCCCCTGTTGGCATCAATTTTTGCTCTTCATTTGAGTGTTTGACAAACCCCGTTAAATAATTGCCGTGTGTTTTCCTTTCGTAGTACTGTTCGTCTTAGAGAGTGGACTTTTACACCAGTCTCCATTTCTGAAACTTCTGACCAGGATAAACAATAATAACAAAACGATTTAACAACAATTTCATTACAAACAAAAGTGGATTTGTTTATTTGTTTTAGGATATTATATGTAAACAAATCTTTGTGACACATTTTCACCGCGACCCTCAGTTTAACACCGCAGTAGAAAAAGTCCAGCCTGTCACAGACCTGCAGGAGGGCGGGGCCACGGTGACGTCATGGAGAGTGACATCATCACACGTGTCTGGTCTTCAGAAGACTGAAACCTTTGACGCAGTCTTTGTGTGTGCGGGGTAAGTGATGACATCATCAGGATAACCAACGAACTCTTCGTTAAGGTTGATTTTTTCGTCCTCTCTGTTGCTGATGAAGACATTATTCAGACCCTCACATCCCAGACATCCCAGGAATCCAGCACTTCAAAGGTACGACGCTGATGTGTTCACAGACGTCAGCATCAACAGACACACACCACAGAGTGGACTGAAGCGACACACGGGCGTTGAACGTCTGTAACCAATGAGTGAAGACGAGATGAGAACATGTGGACAGGACTGACTGGATGAGGACCTAACGTCAGTCCTGCTCTCTGCTTCCAGGAACAGTGCTTCACAGTCATTCGTACAAGTTCCCAGAAGCCTTTGCGGGTCAGTCCATCGTAGTACTTGGAGCCAAGGCCTCAGGACTGGACATTTCCATGGAACTGGCTAAAGTGGGCTGTCAGGTAGGTCAGCTGCTCCATGGAGCTCCAGGGTCAGAGGTCGTCAGGTCCTGGGGTCCAGGGGTCGCGGTCTGGATGAAGATGACGTCACACTCTTCATCTTTCTGGTCTCCAGGTGACGCTGAGTCATCGTGGTCCTCGTCTCACCTTCCCTCTTCCTCCTGGGATTAATGAGTCCAGCACTATGGTCTCCATCCAGGAGGACGGCAGCGTCCTCTTCCAGGTGAGGACACGGAGACTTTACTGATCTGATCTGATCTAGATCCCGAACACGTCTTTGCCGTGTTTTTGTACAGTTTAAAGTCAAAACATCACAGTGTTTCTTCTGCCGGCCAGAGGAACCTTCATGAAGGTTTAACAGCTCCCTCTGCTGGACAACAGACATTTCTCTCCTGTCTGTTCGTCCATCAGTTCCTGCTGGAACTTTTTAGGTTGAAGGTCACGTTGACCTTGGTTGGAGTTGTTGACAAACAACATCATCCAACACCATCCAACAGTCCTGTGTGTGTGTGTGTGTGTGTGTGTGTGTGTGCGTGCATCGTCCAACTGTGGAGTTTTAACGACACTCACTTGTTTCAGGATGGATCCGTGGGCGTGGCCGACGTCCTGATCTTCTGCACCGGCTACAACTTCAAGTACCCGTTCCTGGACTCGGCAGAACTGGGCGTGGACATCCAGCAGCACGTGATGTCACCCCTGTACCGGTACATGATGCCCCCCGCCTTCCCCTCGCTCTTCTTCATTGGTGTCTGTAAACTCATCTGCCCCTTCCCCAACTTCAACTGCCAGGTGAGAGCGACGACCACGACCTTAGCCTGTCGCAGGCTGATGACATCATCCCCGTCACACCCTGACTTCCTCCTGCAGGTCCAGTTTGCTCTGGCCGTGTTGGACGGAACCGTACCTCTGCCGTCTCGGGTCCAGATGGAGAAGGAGGTCCGACAGGAGGAGCAGGAGAAGCTGGACCAGGGAGTGGAGCATCGCCACCTGATGGTCATTCAGCGACACCAGTGGGACTACTGTCAGATGCTAGCTAGAGCTGCCGGCTTCCCACCGCTGCCTCCAGTGGTTCGCAGCCTGTACGAGGAGGTTTGGAGACAACGACGGATTGATCCGGATGGATACCGCCAACATAACTACAGGCTGGTGAGCGCCACCCAGTGGGAAATGATTTAGGGTAAATGGTCAGGTAGTGATTAAGCAAACAGATGTTAAGGTGTAGAGCTAGCATTAGCCTGCCTTAAGCATTAGCTCGTCTCAGAGACACTTTTACTGATAAACTTGAAGATTCTTGTTAGCATGCTAAGATTAGCACAACTAGCTTATGCTAAAATCACATGAAGTTGTTCATTGATTTATTGGTTAAATGTGTGCACCTGCTCTGTGTGTTCTTGGTCAGCGGTACCTTAAAGGTTCAAAGGTCACTTCCACAGGAGCAGGGATACTTTAGACCAGCTCCTTTATGAACTGATTAGAATTCAGTTGAAATCATTAAACAGACTTAAAACTGAATCTTTTCAACGAATCGACTAAAAATAATAACAATAATAGTAATAAAAATGAGAATTATTATTATTTTAGATTTTGTTTTCTTTTAAAAAAATCAAAAATAGTTTCATGTTCTTAAAGTAGTCAGAGGTAGTACTGTCAGGTAACAGCTCCCTCTGCTGGACAACAGGGTATTCAGTTTCTCCTGTCTGTTCGTCCATCAGTTCCTGCTGGAACTTTTTAGGTTGAAGGTCACGTTGACCTTGGTTGGAGTTGTTGACAAACAACATCATCCAACAGTGCGTGTGTGTGTGTGTGTGTGTGTGTGTGTCGTCCATTTGTTGGTGGGAAAACGACTTTCTTCATAAACAGAACTATTTTTTATAGAACTGTTGTCTGTGAAAAACGTCCAGCTTTTGTGTTTCATGGTTTTTGAAATACCTGGAGTATTTAGTACCAGAGAGTCAACTGAAGAACTGTTAGTCACCACTAGAGGGAGGTGTTAGGAATCATTCAAATGAAATATTGTAAAGAATAAAAGTACAGACTAAGAATCAGTAAAGAGTTGTTGTTTGTTTTTTTACAACCGGACTCTTTTAGTCACCTTTTCTTCTGAGCAACAACAGGAAGTGGACACTAGAGGGCGTGCTGTCAGGAAACCTTTGTGTTTCTTATTGACCCTGTAAACGTGAACAATTCTTAAGCTCCAAGATTGAAAAACAAAAGAAAATACATTAGTTTGTTACTGAACTCTGCCCCCTACAGTGGGTTAGAGTCGGTACCGCTAGCCTTGTCTGGTTGGTTTTGTTTTGGTTCTTATTCTGCGACAAAAAAAAATCCTAGAAGATGATCCTGGACGACTTGGACTCGTTCTCCAGATGCAACTCCCTCTTCACTTTCTCTGCTGCCCCCTGGTCGTCCTCTCCCACTCCCTCTTTCTTCATCATTTTCAGTGGCCACCAGAGGGAGCCGTTCTGTCGGTCCCGGCGAACCGTGGGTTCTCCAGGCCAGCAGCAGGGGGCGCCTTTGTCTCCTGTCAGGAAGTAGAGAAGGGCGTTCAGCCAGGCGTTGCAGGAGGCCAGCGGACGCGTGACCTTGTAGCAAATGGAGACCGCCTTCATGGCGTTGCAGCCTCCGATTTGCCCCCGCCGCAGCAGCAGGAACAGTGTCCGGGTCACATGGAAGGGCAGAAAGCAGAGGGCAAACAGCAGCGTAATGGTCACGATGGTTTTAATGGACTTCCTCCTCCTGCGGATGTAGTGGGAATACTGGGAGCCGGAAATGGACACGGAGGTTCTCTCCCGATCCCTCACTCCTTCTGCGGCGCCGTCTCCCCCCTGACCGTCCTCACCTCCTACGATGGAGCTGGGAGGAGAGCGTAGCGTCCGAAATATGGTCCTGACCACGTGAGAGTAGCACCAGGCGATGATGACGAAGGGCAGGAAGAAGCCCAACAGGTGGAGGACCATCCCGTACGGCACGTAGTCGGCGAACTCTCTATCGATGGCGTCGTCCCAGCAGTTCATGTAACCTTCTCCGTCCTGTTCCACCGTCGTATTCCCGGCGTTCCTCGATGCCTCGGGTTCAGGGGATCGTTCTGCGCCTCGCCGTCTTACGTATCCCGTCTGGGCAAACCTGAAGATGGGGCAGGTGAGGATGAAGACCACCACCCACACCAAGGCGCAGATGCCCTTCACCACCCGCTTACTCTCCAGAGTGATGGTCCTCATGGGGTGACAGATCCCCAGGTACCTGTGGACCAGAGGAGAACCAGGAGTCAGCCAGGACCAGGAGTCACAGATGTTTATATGTTTATAAAGATAAACAAAAAACACTTTCATTTTACTGATCTGTTAATCATCAATGTTATCATCAATGACAACACAAGGAAACACAGTCTAAACAGAGAGCCTCCATCAGAGAGAGCCTCCTTCAGCGAGCCTCCTTCAGAGAGAGTCTCCATCAGAGAGCCTCCTTCATAGAGCCTCCTTCAGAGAGAGAGCCGCCTGCAGAGAGAGCCTCCTTCAGCGAGCCTCCTTCAGAGAGAGAGCCTCCTTCAGAGCGCCTCCTTCAGAGACCCTCCTTCAGAGAGCCTCCTCCAGAGAGAGCCCCCCTCAGAGAGCCCCTCCTTCAGAGAGCCTCCCTCAGAGAGCCTCCTTCAGGGAGCCTCCTTCAGAGAGAGTCTCCATCAGAGAGCCTCCTTCATAGAGAGCCTCCATCAGAGAGCGCCTCCCACAGAGAGAGCCTCCTTCAGGGAGCCTCCTTCAGAGAGACTCCTTCAGAGAGAGCCTCCATCAAAGAGAGCCTCCTTCAGAGAGACTCCTTCAGAGAGAGCCTCCTGCAGAGAGCCTCCTTCAGGGAGCCTCCTTCAGAGAGACTCCTTCAGAGAGCCTCCTCCAGAGAGAGCCCCCCTCAGAGAGCCCCCTTCAGAGAGCGCCTCCTTCAGAGAGCCCCCCTCAGAGAGCCCCCTTCAGAGAGCCTCCTCCAGAGAGAGCCCCCCTCAGAGAGCCCCCTTCAGAGAGCGCCTCCATCAGAGAGAGAGCCTCCTTCAGAGAGCCCCCCTCAGAGAGCCCCCTTCAGAGAGCGCCTCCATCAGAGAGCGCCTCCCACAGAGAGAGCCTCCTTCAGGGAGCCTCCTTCAGAGAGAGCCGCCATCAGAGAGAGCCTCCTGCAGAGAGCCTCCTTCAGAGCGCCTCCTTCAGAGAGCCCCCCTCAGAGAGCCCCCTTCAGAGAGCGCCTCCATCAGAGAGAGCCTCCATCAAAGAGAGCCTCCTTCAGAGCGCCTCCTTCAGAGAGCCCCCCTCAGAGAGCCCCCTTCAGAGAGCGCCTCCATCAGAGAGCGCCCCCTTCAGAGAGAGCCTCCATCAGAGAGCGCCTCCATCAGAGAGCGCCCCCTTCAGAGAGAGCCTCCTGCAGAGAGAGCCTCCATCAAAGAGAGCCTCCTTCAGAGCGCCTCCTTCAGAGAGCCCCCCTCAGAGAGCCCCCTTCAGAGAGCGCCTCCCTCAGAGAGCGCCTCCTTCAGAGAGCCTCCCTCAGAGAGCCTCCTTCATAGAGAGCCTCCATCAGAGAGCCTCCTTCATAGAGCCTCCTTCAGAGAGACTCCTTCAGAGAGAGCCCCCCTCAGAGAGCCCCCTTCAGAGAGCCTCCTCCAGAGAGAGCCCCCCTCAGAGAGAGCCTCCTTCAGCGAGCCTCCTTCAGAGAGACTCCTTCAGAGAGCCTCCATTAGAGAGCCTCCTTCAGAGCGCCTCCTTCAGAGAGCCTCCTCCAGAGAGAGCCCCCCTCAGAGAGCCCCCTTCAGAGAGCGCCTCCTTCAGTTCCCTGTTAGCGACCGTTAGCGTTCAGCCGGTCGACTGTTTCTTACCTGTGCACAGAGATGCAGGTGAGGAAGAAGATGGAGCAGTAGAGGTTGAAGTAGAAGAGGAACCTCACCAGGCGACACATGAAGTCACCAAACACCCAGCTGTCCCTCAGGACGTAGCTGGCCACCAGGAAGGGCAGCGAAAGGCCGTACATCAGGTCGGTGGTGGCCAAGTTCACCATGTATATCAGGGAGGTGTTCCAACGCCGCCCGCTGGCGCCGCAACAGCCGCTGCCGTGGCGACGGCAGGAGCGCAGCAGCACCACGGAGTTGAGGGTCAGGCTGAAGACGAAGGTCAGCGAGTAGCAGACGGGCAGGAAGACGTACTTGTAGGACTCGTCGATGCTGCAGGAGGGGGGGGGCAGAGCGCCGGAGGTGTTGGCGTGGGCGTGGCCCGGCGTCATGTCCGGTGTGACGTTGGAGACGGGATTCAACCTCATGGTGAACCTCTGAAGGCCCGGCGTGTCAGGGGATCATCTGGTCTCCTCACCTCCTCCCCCCGTCCGTCCGTCCGTCTGTCTCTCCGTCCGTCCGTCTCTCCGTCCGTCTCTCCGTCCGTCCGTCCGTCTGTCTCTCCGTCTGTCTCTCCGTCCGTCCGTCTCTCCGTCCGTCTCTCCGTCCGTCCGTCCGTCTGTCTCTCCGTCTGTCTCTCCGTCCGTCCGTCTCTCCGTCCGTCTCTCCGTCCGTCCGTCCGTCTGTCTCTCCGTCCGTCTCTCCGTCCGTCCCCTCTGGTCCGTGTCCTTGTTCCTGTAACAGAGGACCAGAAACACCGTGTTCGTCCTGGTTTTGCTGATGTCGCCGCGTCACGCTCAGTTAGGCCGTCAATCATTAATGAGCTTTTCCGGAAACATCTCACGGCGGCGATTCTTCAAAAAGTGCAGCGTGATTTATTTACTGATTCATTTTGAAAAAAGTCAAAAAGAAAAATGTAAAAAGTATTTACATTAAAACATTAAATATATATAAAAATATGTGAAATAAATACAAATCAATTAATAGTAAATAAAAGTTTTTACAGCGGCTGAATTTGACCCTGACCAACAACATGATGTTTGTACATCAATTATTGACCAGTGAGAAAAACAACAACAATAAAAGATATGACCTTTGACCTTAAGGTCAACTTGTGACTAAAAATAACTGACTGCAGAATTTAACAGATAATAATAAGAGTTAGTAAATACTGCTGCTGCTGCTGCTGCTGTTACTGTTGCTGCTGCTGCTGCTGCTGTTGCTGCTGCTGCTGTTACTGCTGCTGCTGTTGCTGCTGCTGCTGTTACTGCTGCTGCTGTTGCTGCTGCTGCTGTTACTGCTGCTGCTGTTACTGCTGCTGCTGTTACTGCTGCTGCTGTTACTGCTGCTGCTGTTGCTGCTGCTGCTGCTGCTGCTGCTGTAGGACAGTGTAAACGGACCATGGTACCGACCCTGACCCTGATCCACTCACGTCAGTACATTTATGGAGTGATGATGAAGAGCAGCAGCCAATCACAGAGCAGGAGTGGACCAGGTGTCAGGATGCAGGTTCCTACCTCTGTCCTGGTGGTCCTGGTGGTCCTGGTGGTGCAGGTGGTCCTGGTGGTCCTGGTGGTCCTGGTGGTCCTGGTGGTCCTGGTCCCAGTCTGCAGCCGTGTCCTTGCTGTGGTTGAGTCTATTTCTGGTCTGGAAGGTCTCACGGGGGTTTCTCCTCTGACCTTCAGCTGCTCTGTAAATAATTGATCAGTTCATTCAGTCAGAACTGCAGGAATGAAACCTAATCCTGGGACTGCAGAGGAGGGGGGGGGGGGGGGG